TTTTTTTTTCAGTAAAAGTGTAAAGATTGTCTGTTTTTCTATTTTACCCCCAATCATAAGTGACTGATGTTGCAGTTCAGTTTAGTTCACTTGGCAAATTCTCCAACTTAAAACTGGGTGTTGAGCTGGTAACGCTTTGAAGCGTCATCTTGAGTAGGCATCATCTGAAATGATGCTATTTTATCATCTCATGCTCATAAAATCAATTATATACGTGTGTCGATGCGTATGGTTGTGTGTGTGTGTGTGTGTGTGTGTGTGTGTGTGTGTGTGTGTGTGTGTGTGTGTGTGTGTGTGAACAAAATTCAAAGAAACTCACAGTAGTAAATCCATACTTTTGGATCTTTAGTTAAAGGTTGAGTCTTTGTGGACTGGACTGTTCAGACCTTGGCTGACGGAAGTATCCAAAAGTGACACTGACTCGAGCTAAATGCCCTGTCAGCCATCTGGCTTATCGAGCCCTTCCTGCACTTCCTTCTCCTTTTCCGTGGTAGTAGTACTACCATTGTCCTGTTCAGCTCTGGGCTCTGCGCTGTGGCTTTCCCGCCCATCATCGGATTCTGTGCGTGGGGCAGCAGGGTCTTTGACGACTGCCTCCATCAGCAACTCCCCTTCCAGCTCCTCCTGCGTCTCCTCCTCTACTCGCCCCACGGTGTCCGGGATAATCTCCACCTCAATATCTGAGGAGTCCTCGATCTCCTTGAACCACACGGTCTTCTGCCCTTCCTTCCTCCTCTGCTTGGCCAAGGTGGACCTTGAGCTGTAATCATCTCCATCTCCTCTGCCTCTCCTGGAGGGTCTTACCGAGGGACTCCCTTTGGGGGCGTGGTTAGTAAAGACGCCGCAGGAGGAACAGTGGCGGTTGCGTCTCCCCAGGGGTATGACTCGCCCCCCGGGGAAGGTGCTCCGTCTGGGAATGGCGTTCTTCCATCGGCCACGGCTTGCGTCGGCCTCGTTCTGGAAGCCGTCATTGGTGTACTGCAGGGAGTCTCTGCGGCCCCTATTTGGCTGCTCAGACTTCAGACAGACCAAGCACTGGAACCAAAGATTAAAAAGTCATGAATCATGGCTTGAAACAGACTTTCTGTTCATATGCTACAAAGACGGTGGTGTTGCAGAGTTTCATCATGTTACCATATTTCATCACAGAATGACGTGTTGAGAATGTGTTGTTCTTGAGAAATATTCACCAAAGGGAACGAGAGGTGCAAGGAAAATGAAGTCTTTTTTTTTTCTTTCTGATGTGTAAACTCACTGCTTGAAGACTGTTTTGGCACACAGTATGAATGCCGGTGTGTCTAAACGTTTTAATTCTCCAGCAAAATTATATGTTGAGAAGAAAAACATCAGCCCAACAATGGCAGAATTAATACATTTTGAAACAACAGTCATACAGTTAGTTGGACAATACTTTCCTTATTCTTAACGTAATCCTCCAAACACTCACTTGCTTGCGTATTACTGTAATGGTTGCCAGTTTCGCCAGTCACTGGGTCATTCTTTGCAATTGGGGCCTTTTCTGTCTTCATGAAAAGACTTTTTGCCATTTAGAGTAAATAACATGCCAACGATGAAAACAGTTTATCATAGATTATGGTCTTCCTTCGAACATGATCATACTGTCACAGTGATAATTTTACAGTTTAACCTGAGCGAGTCCCAAGGACTCGCTGATCAGAAAAGTATGAGTCCCATTATGCATTTAGAGAGTCCCAAATTTCGAATTCTGAAATGGTCTACTTATTGAATTGCATATGATAATAACACAAACAACAACAATATACATTGATAATAGGTTTATTGCTTATAAACAAATGCTGCAAAAATTTAAATAATTCAGGCATACAAGACTTGCTGAGAAACAGGTTCTTATTTCATCCCATGGTTCAGTCTTTGAGTTCATAAATTCTCCTCTCTTTATTCTGCTTCCAATGATGTAAGGCTTTCTCAAAGTCAACTTATTATCGCAAAAAACTATCCAACTTTAGCTGCTTCCTCTGTGATATCTCAGCAATAAACGTTCGCAACACTTGTTCGCAACACTTGTTTTAATGTTACACGACTTGGCAATCGTCTGCTTTCCACACGGTGAAGGCCGATCTCGCCAATCTCGTCTCGCGAGAACGGAAATCTCGTCACGCGAGATTACTTAACGCGAGATCAAAACAACAATGGCGGCGATTATCAAACTGCGATCGTTGCTGGAAAAAAGATGTACCGTAGGTTTTTTTTTTTTTGTTTTGACTGAGAAATTAAAAAATAGTTTTGCCCTCTCGGGTGGGCACACCGTTAGAACTGGGATGTGGCGGTTAAAAAGTAAGAATAACAACAAAAGTTTAGAAATGACTTGTCTTGGTGTCTTTTTTTTAACATCACAAAAACCCAACATTTGAACATGGGGTGTGTAGACTTTACATCTCCTCTGTATATAAGCTGTGACGTAAAGGTGCAACCCACATTCTCCATGAAGCATTAATTATTGCTAGAAATTTGGCCCATCCATATTTGTCATCTGTTTTTCATAACAGAAAGTAGTTTTGAAAATCATCTAAGGTAACATTCCTAAACATTTTACAAGGCAATACTAAAGTTTGGGAAGACAGAAGAAAGCTGTCGTGCACCTAAAACAATGCGCCATTTTCCGAATTCAGTTTCAACAAGAAATAAAAAAGAAAAATGTCATGGACAAACAAACCTGAACTAAATAGAAAATATAGTCATCAAAGTGCATGTTGGCTCTGTCATTATTTAAGATGAGATTTTACAGCTCGAAACACTGACCTCACATAATTTGTCCAAGCTGGAGTTGCCCTTCCGTAGGCGAGAAATCAAGAAGCCAATCACAATGAGGCAGAGGACCAGCAAAGCCGCCATAACCAGCCCGAGGAGTGCCATGTCACCCGCACGGTAGCCAACATTCGAAGGGGACGGCATAGCATCGGCTGCACAGATCATGTCGGTTGCATGTGTAAAGGAAGTTTGCATTCACCTCCTGCGTATTTAGACCTTCTTCAACTTTCTAGATTGCTAAAAATCACTCTCATTTTCCTTCATGTCCACATGTGCTGAAGCATGTTGGCTATATTTCACACAATAGCACAAAACTACCTGATGTACAAGGGTGTCTGGATTTTTTTCTAATTGCATTTTATTTCCCTCCAATTCCAAGACATGTTCAAATCCATGGCAGTTGCTGTTACGATTATGAACTCTAGGCGGTGTGGTGATTTTCCTACCCGGTATGACCTGAACAGAGAGGGCAGCTGTACCAAATTCTCCTGTTGTTGTGTCCACTGCTCGAAGCTGATTCCAAGAGAGGGGAAAAAAAATAATAACACTTTAGAAGTGATGTCAAAATATTGTGCCTTTCTTTTCTTGTTGCTGTGCTTGCCAACATGCTATTCACCTGGAGAGCAAATGACTCCGTCTTGACGACTCTCTTCAGAATCACAAAACCATCTGAGGTCACGTTGACGTAACTGCTGTACTGCACCTCATATTTGACATCCGGATTCACACCCTGAAATGCAGGAGACTGTTTAGCATTATTTTTGTAAACACATCCAAACCTCACTGTTGCTGTTTATTAACCTTTTCAACAGCAGTCACGCTTGAAATGAACATTCATTTATGGGATGAGCAGCCAAGCTGAATATGTGAATTGCTCCCATGCAACGTTTGCCAACTCGTCTCTGGCAACGCCAAACGGCATATTTTGCTGTTGACTCTTTTCTGGCAGATTGGGTGATTGAAGTAGAAAAAAAAAAACAAAAACAAAAACAGGACATTATTTCCCATTTGGCAATTAATTCTTTTAACAATCACGAGCCTCGGTAGTGTGTGGAGAACCATGCCCAGCTACGACAACCTGGCACCTTCTCATGCTAGCCACCAGCCTGGTCGCACACTGCTGCGGGACAGCATCGCGTTCTTCAATCCAGCTTTTGTCAAAAAGTAAGCCAACACGGTTTTGTTGCTTGATCTGGCACAAGCAGCACACCCAAGTGTTCAATAGAGTCGAAGTTCGGCCATTCCATCCTCTCACTCCCAAATTGGGGAGGGAGATACTGCACCACACCAGGATGCCGCCTCCACCAAACGTGACTTTCTTGGTGCAGCAATTAGCACTGTTCTCCGCCTATTCGCCACATGTTGACTCTACAATCCAACTGCCATAAGCAGAATCTGGGCTCAGTGCTGAACGGGAAGTTTCCACACATATTCCGGTTTCAATCTTTTCCAGATTGGCTTGACAGAGGGTCGTTGGCCATGTCATACAGCAAACCTTGACTGCATATCTTTCGAAGACAGCCCATGGTAAACATGCTGACGGGGTGAGGAAACACTCTTCTTGGGGTGTTTTCTTCTTGGGACGCCCACTTAGCAGCCTGTCTCTGACTGACATCCATGTGGGGAAGGTCACAGGGCTCACGCCAAACAATGCCAAATCGTAGTTTTGATGAACACCGACTTGAAGTGTCCCTTTCAAACGTTCGCATGAACCCAATCCGGATCAGTCCAATGTGGTGTAACGATTCTTGGAGCAGGCACCTACTGACCACAGTAGCTTGACCCCTGCTCACCTGGTGCTACCAGAAATTCAAAACAAAAATAAATGGTTACAGAAAAATGAGCTGTAGTGTTCGGCAAGAGGAGAAAAAAATATTTTTCAGTGTCGCAACCCACATAGCCATCTCTGCTGCTCAATCCACGAAATGTAAGTTTGTTACAAACATTGCAATGGTTAAAAACGTAATAAATGGACTTGCAATGGTATAAAATTTGCCAAGAAGCACTGTCACAACAGCAACAAAATTACCAAACACAAATTTCCTAATTTGTTGTGCAACATTGTATATGTCATGTCAAGTTGAAGGTACAACTGGTAGAATGAAATGGAATTATTGTATTTCATTACAGTTCATTTCAGGTTAATTTCAGCTTGCATCAAACTGGTTTAGTTGGTTGAAGTGGCTTTCATGACAATCCAGATCAAACTGGTCGACATGTCATGGAAGCAGCAGAATTGTACATCAAGAAACTCATTGTCTTGTACCCTTTCAAGTCTTCCTGTTTAATCTTCTGCTAATTGGCTAAAATGATTGAAAATAATAGTACAGGGTTGTCCAAATATTTTCGTTTGAGAGCCACATACAGAACAATGAGAGGGTGATAGGGCCACTTTAAAATTCTTTTTGAAACATGCTTAAGTCAGTCAAGCAAGAAATTATATCTTGTTTGTATTGTCTAGTTAGTTTCATCAGCTTTCTGTTCAAGGGGTTCGGGTCAATAGTTGAGGATTTTTCCAGTTTTTGAGGTGGCCAACAGTTGTCCATCTCACAGAGTAGATCCAGCTCTGCATTTAAGAGCAGCCGAATCCCATCTCCACATTTAGAACCAAAAAAAGAAAAAGAGCAAACTGTCGTATGGTTATTATTTTTCAAACAGTCACTTGAGGATCATTCATGTGATGTCTTCATAAATCAGCCAAAGAGCACAAAGTGGAAGAGACGATTTTTGCCTCTAAAACTGAATTATCTTTATTCACGACAGTGTTTTTGAAGATAATTATTTCTTAGTATCTTCAAATAGAGAAAAAGGTTCGACAGTACATCCTCTCTTCTCACTCGGCCCACCATCACCTTTTTTAACTAACCCTGTGGCTCATGTCAAATGTCATTTTTTTTTGTATCATTATAAGACTGAAAATATATCATATAATATAATGTATAAAATATTATATATATTCGATAATGAAAAGCTGAAAACCTGGACTCACCCCCACTCACCCATTTTTAATATGCTTATATTTATATTTTATAATTCATATTTACTTGTATACTTTTTGTTCTTCTACTTCTCCCTTTTATATTTTTTTGTGAGACAAATAAAGGTTTTTCTTATCTAATATCATACTGTTCTATTTTTTTTTTTTTTTTTGTCATATCGTGGGCTGCTGAGAAATGGATGGCGGGCCGCAAATGGCTGTAGTTTGGACACTCGTGTAATAGTGGATTAAAACCAAAACTCTCCACCGCAAAGCCTCTCCTCTATCAGAACCGAGTGAAGAACTTACACCGGCAAAGTCCTCATCTCGCGCTCGGACTCTAAAGGGTCTGTTGCTACTGCGGTCCCTGAGGATCATGCTCTCAGGTATGGAGTTGCTGTAGATAAAGCCCTCGTAACGCTCCTTCTCAAAGTGAGGAGGGTTTCTGCTCTTCTTCGTCACATCAAAGGTCACCTGCGTCACAGCAAACTGATCCCGGTTGGTCACTTGTGATGCCTGAGCGAGTTGAAATTGGGGGAAAAAAAAAAAAAAAAAACCTTGAATCACAAGAAGAAAAACAATATATTGCCGAATCCAAAGTATTACCAGAACAATGAGCGTTATTGGGCCCACAATATCGGCAGCTTTAGTCATGCTGATATTCCCTGTGTCCTCATCTATCTGGAATAGATTTCCTTCATTCCCTGCATCCGCAAGAAAAATTAAAACATTGTAAAACATTTCATCCACACTCACGGCTTTGTCATTTAACATCAGCAACGTGATATAGAGTATCATTGTGATGGTATGACTTCCATAGGAACACCACGAATGAAAATGGACTATTCATACAGACATACTGTATATCAGTGGCGGGCCGTGCATTTCAACCTTAGGCCTTCAGTGACGTCACATACATACACAATATAGGCTCGTCAAGCAGCACTTAATTTCAGGAGCATTTAAAACCATCAAGTATGCATTCACAATTAAGAGCAGGAAACTAAATTTACAGATAGTCAAAAA